TCAATATTCACTAACCTCTTTGAACTCACTTCTACATTTACCACCCTAACTAGAAAACACCACTTTTAAGAGTTTATTATTGCAGTATGATAGTAAAAAGCTAATCCAGGGTTACTGACGCACCGGCCTTTCTTTTAACACTACAAAGTGTCTCTTTTCAGGAGTAAGTGTCCAACCGCTGCAACCACGGCAGCGGCAGGGGAACCCATTTTAGCAGCAGGCACCTCTCCGCTGCCGCGGGTGAGCAGCTGCCCACCAGCCAGATGCGACGTCCCAGGGACTCGCTTCCCACCGCCCTTCTCAGGAGGGCCTTCTGAACCTTGCCTTGGCATGTAATGGGGCGTGAGACCCTGGCACACGATGGAGGCACAGCCACGGCGTGAGCAGCCACGCAGCGGTGACACCCACATTTCTCTCGTTTGACGAGAAACGAGTCATGTGGAGCTGTCTCTGGGTACCTCCTACACAGACCGCACCACCCGCTGCCTCCGAAGCCAGCCTGACATGCCGGATGTCCTTTCCTGTCAAAATGCAGGAAAATTGAACATTCTGATGCTGTTGTCCCCTAACCTCACTGTTCTTCTGCTGACCTTACTTGGCATCGTGTTATATGTGCCTGCAAAGAAATAATGGGACAGAAACGCACTTGGTCATTGTGCCCAGGAACGTAACACATGAACCAACTCAACAGCCACCACAAAAACAAGGAATGCCCCTGCCGACTGGCTACAAGATGTGACAAATGCATTTATTGTACCAACAGACTTCTAAGGTACCACAGACCACGCACACGATGAATCTCCATGGCCAGGCATGCTCTGGCTGCTGTGTTCCAAGTTCCCAACCAACACTTACAGCCTTTTGAGGCCCTATATTTGCCACATTTTACTTCTCATGTAACAGCAGGGCACAGAAAAAGCAACAGTACTTGCTTCTGCATAGGAAGAACAAAGGACACAGCATTCCTTCCTCCATTTCCCCTGTCTCCATCACCCTGTTTCTTAGCCCTGGATGGCAGTCACTTGCAACAGGAACTTAAATTTAGGCAAAGCTTATCAGTCACAGGCTGGATGTGGTCTGCTGATATCTACTAAGACAAAACTATGTTAAAAATGCTTCACATACATTTCCTCCATTCATTACCAAATCAACTACATCAAAATTGTATTGGCACTCCATTCCTATAAATGGTATGGAAAAATAGCACGCACTTACAGAATTCAAAGCAGTAACACAATGCACATCCATAAAAAATGGCATTATATTTATACAAGCATCTTTGAGTAGTACCCAAATCTGCTCTCACATGCAATATGGTAGTTTTTTATTATTTTAAATTAGCTTGCAAATAACAGGCAGTTTGAACCCATGTAGATAATGAATCATTTTGGCTCAAAGTCCACTGTAACTACACACACATCTCTGCAACTTACATCAATGAAGGGAATGAGACACTGAGAAAAACATTCAGCTAAACTCATGTCTGCGGCAGTATTGCACTGGCTGGAGATTGTTACATTTTGGTTAAATATGAAAAATATCTGCATATTTGATGAAAACATAATTAGATCAAGTTACACTGCTGGGAATCAACATGTCTAAAGCCTGGCTGAAGGAAGCACTTCTGTGAGTCTACCAGCGCTGCCTCTGAAGGTGGCACTATTTGAGAAGCTCTACTGCAAACATATCACTAATACAGAGCTGCTTGAAGGAAAACAAAAAATACTCTTTTAAGAATTGTATCAAAAAGGAAAAAAGTCAAAACTGAGAATGCCATGCAGAGACTAAATGTTCGTCATCATTCCCAAGCGTTCCTATAGCACTTAAGCTCATCATGGAGCCTGAAACCCTCAAACATTTCACACCAACTCTTCCTGTTCTCTCATTCTCCAGTAATTTTTAAGCAGTTTACATAAAATATGAGCCTCACAAGGCATTCTGAACTACATAAAATCAAAGACTGTTCCTCAAAGTTTGCAACAGAAGAGCTATTCAAGTAGCCAGGCTTGAAAGAGGAACACGCGGTAATCATTCTACTCAGTACCAATGAAAAGAATCAAAAGTTTAAAGCTAATTTGTATTTTCTGTACAAATTATATTTTTTTTAAACTAAAAGATAAATAAAAAAATAAAGTACATCAAAGCATTTCCTTGTTAAAGTTGGAACTAAATATTAGTGAGAGTTGCCACGGATTCACAAGATACAATTAATTAATAGCATCGGTAGTGCATCAAAAAGTTTGACGCTGTTTTACAGCAATACTCCCATTTTAGAATATCAAAATAGTATTGAAAAGCGTAAATACTCAATAGATTTCAACATTTGGCCCTTTTTTTTTTTCCTTTTTAATGCTTTTTCAATATTTTTAATCAAATCTTCCTTTAACTTGTGTCCAGGCTCCGAAGTACATTCAAGGTAGAAGAATTCAACTGAAGAAATGCAGTACTGGTAAGGATACTTTCCTTAAAATGAAAAATGTCTTCTCCCTGGATGTCTACAAAATACGCTGAAGACAGACATTTCAAGACTGTAAAACTGACTAAGCTCACACGAATAAAACAAATATACATAGACAGGCACAAATACCGACCACATAATTTCAAAATCATTCTATCATTAGCTTGAGACCAATTGTGAGATTTGATATCCTCACTCAATTTTCAGGAGTGCCACACATAACCATGCTCCAGGGCAACAGAATAGCCCCACTGATCGGCGACTGCAGATGAGAAACATTTTTCTAATTTATCTAGAAAGCTAGCAATGGGGACTCAAGTCAGTTCCACAGAGCCGATGTGACACAGCAGCTCTTTGTCTGCCCCTACTGCATATATTCAATTTTTTTATATTTATATTCTATGAGGAAAAAAAAATTCAGCAGTGAAATCTAGTTGTATTTCATCCTTCAAAATTTAAATCCTTAAAAACCTAACGTTTAAAAATATGCAGCAGTGATATGCCAATATACTGGCGACAACTTGAAGGAAGAGCTAATGATGCACATGACCTGAAATACAGGAAGAACATAAAACCCGTGAAGGTAGAAGTCAGCAGAACAGACAACACTGGATATGTCATTTCTCTTGTCCCACTATTCCAGGATCAGTTACTGAAAACACTGCCTCATACTAGTGTTGATGGCTCTACATAGCTATCCAGAGCTAGGATGTAAACATTCATTTTTTTCCGCCAGAAAATAAACACTCAAATAAATGCAGGGAAAAATCAACTGCACATTTGATAGGATGAGCAGAATTCCATCTACCTATTTCCCACAACATGATTTTTCCACCCTATAGCTGACTGGAGTTTGTTGTTTGCTTTTTAAAATACAGCTGCCCTCCTCACTCCAAACACTTATTTTTCATACAGCAGATTAAGGCACTCCAGTTGATCAATCTGTGCTACGGGATGTTTTTTGCTGGATCTGTAGTTCATCTGTTTATAGATACCCCCTGAAGGGCTTTCATACGGCACCAACGTGTCTCAGGAAAGCCCAACTCCACATACCAAATGTCTGTCTAGACAGGGTCCAAGTGGGAAAGACACGTCCAGGAACACTCCACATCTCACAGCACTATAATACACATAGCACCAAAATACACAGTTTAACCATATTAATCCTTAAACTGTGCTTATATTCACACTACACAAAGTATGTCATCTATTACCTTGGACAAAGTGGTTGCCCATTTGGAATCAGAAAAATATATTTAAAATCATAAACCCTTAAAGCATGAAGTAAAAAAGGGCCTGTGTTGAGCTTACTACTTTATGAATAAGTGAATGGTTCTTTGGTCAGGACACAGTCTCGTCAGTGTGACTTTGCGGAATATATTCCTTACACTCATCAAACTGGTATTAAACAGAATAATGCACAGGAGGAAAGGCACGAGATTCAACATAACAAAGGCTTAAGTAAAATCTCTGGTCATAAGAAATCAAACTACATTTAACACTGTTAATGCTTATTGTTCCGTTGAGGATTCTGTTTCTCCACAGCATGAAAAAAGCAAACAAATCACAAAATCAAACATTAGAATATATTTTTTTTTAATTTTTATAAATAACTTATCTGTTACAAAGACAGTTTACCCAGCTAAATCACAAAACCATCAACTCAAGATATCCAAATTAGGTTTTATTAATAAACAGGTAAAAACTGATTTGTCAATCTTCACATAGAACTGCAGATGAAGCTGAAAAACAAGGCCTCATTTTATAAACAAAACGCATTGAATGCAAGTGCTTTGGGTCTACTGCCGAATTACCTGGGATTGGCATTTTCTTCCCACATAAAAAAAAATGCAAAGCCTTCAAAAGAAAGGCCTCTGTGCATTCACATAGATCACTTGTAAAACTCCTAATAAAAGTGTCCACTGGCAAATGTTTACAGTGGGTGACAGTCTACTTTGTCTCTTGCTACATTGTTAGCACTCCCTCCAGCCTCACGCTAAGTGCTGCTACATAATTCTTTGCGTGCCGTCTTTCATGCATACTGTACTGGAATTCCATTTTCTTGATCTCGGTTACGCACATCCCCGATCATGTGAATATCTTCCTTAAAAAAATAGATCATCAAAATAAAGAGATGCTTGAGGTTGCTTCAGTGTTCAAGTCTGTTTGATTTCTCTTTTCCAGCCTTTATTTCAGTTGTCCTAAATATTGCTATCCTTGTTTTCTATAAATATGAGACTTCACCACAAAGTCAGGTTTAGAAACTGGCTGCCAAAACAGGAAAGCATTTAAAGTCCTTGAACAAAGCTGTACGATGCTGCTGCTGTTGATTCTGGCACTGTATGTACTTCCCCAATGAATCTCTCTTCAGGAGTCTGCAAGACACCCAGCAGATGAAGCGAGCTTGAATCGGATGCTGATCTGTTGGTGGGTTGAAAGTTTCTTTAAGTTTCCTCGTGCCAGACAAAACGCTACCTTGTGTCACCCACCGTAAAACTCAGTGTACGAGTGAACTATATGTATAACTCTTCCAACTTTTCCTGCATTTTTACCACGCTGCATCTGCAGGTCTTCACAGATCATCAGCATTTACAAGAGCAATGTACAGAATGAGCAGAGGAAAGCTGTTTTGTGCATAGTTTCTTATTAATGCTCTTATTTTAAGGCATTGCTTCTCTCAGATAAAAGCTTAAAAAAAGGGACATGATCGTGCTTAATCACTTAAAGGGAAAAAAAAGAAAGTTAACAAAAAGACTATTACGCTATACATACAGAAGTACAAGAAAATAATAAAGGTGAAGAAAAGAAATCACTTAAAGCAGGCTCTAGAGCTATGTACAGTAGGAAAAGCTTTGGGGTATTTCACTGTGTGTACTGTACAGACAACGCATGCAGTTTTTCCTTTTCATCTTTAGATGTGACTGTGCTGATTTCTGGCTTCACAGAGATGTTGTCAGGGAAGACAAGGCAAAGAGTACCACTGAACTGGGAAGTTCTTCCCTTTATCGAAGGCACTATGTGGCAGCAAACAGTTTAAACAGTTAAACCTTGTTCCTTTTAGATCTCCTCTGTGCATGTAGTGTTTCACTGAAAGCTCCAAAAACAGAAACGCTAGTACTCTATTCCTTCCCCCTGTCAAAACTCAGTAGTGACATCGGGGCAGAGCAGAGGATGGGCAATACCCAAGCACTGAACATGGTGTGTGTTACTGGGATACTGGTAATACTGTACACGGTTTAGGCAGCTGGCGAGTCTTTCAGCAGATTACCTTTCAGCCGATCAATTTCAACTGCCTGTGACACAACACTGAGGTATTACTAGCTCTGTGGGCTGACATTTAACATCTCGTCACACCTTCAATTTTACAAAATCCTGTGCATTAATTCTTTTTTTTGCCCCTCAATGACTGGGTAGTTCCTTGTACGTTTGCTATGCTTTTACAGAAGGTAATGGGCCTGTTGGCTCAGAAATGCCTGGGCATTTCACACTGTTCACAGCGATTTAAGGCCGGGTGATTTAAAAAAGTACAGGCAGTACAACTCCACTGAGCTCCCTCATCTTCATCTGTGTCTGGAACAGTCTTTGGTGTTTTCACAATGGACCTCTGATCTGTGACATGAAAGAGACAAGATAAGCAGTTACTAACCAAGAACAGCACGGAAAGAATTTTGAGACAATTTTTTTTCAGTAACCGAGAACTATCTTGTTCCTCTGAGAACAGCACAGTTATTACAAGTGACAGAGGCAGCTTTTTACCACCCCCTTGACTACAGCTTGATTCCAAGTCAGCCAAATGCTGAAACTATAAAAAGCAAGTTTCCCATCCCTCCACTCTGCTTTCTTCCCTTCTGGTCTCAGTTCAAAGTGGTTGCATGAAAAGGAGATAAAATTTAGAAATTAATCAGCACAGGAAACATGCACAAGATTTAGAAGTCTGAGGTCTATGGAGCAGTCTAAAATCCATTAAGACAAGTAGTAAGTGCTCTGTAACCTTTTGACATGTTTAATATTTTGACCCCAGAATGAGTATCAGCAGTTGTTCCTCAAACCAGATCAGCAGTCAGATACACTAAAGAAAAATCAGTGCCTGGTTCTGCCATGCTACAGAGTAATCATCCCAAGCATACATGTGCATCTTTTTGCATGATGTGTTAGGCAACAACCTTCACCTATTTTAAAAGAGAAAAGATGAAAAAGGAAAAGACATGAAAAAGACGGAGAGAGAGAGAGAGAGAGAGAGAGAAGAGGGACTTCTCAAGTTAAGGGTATCTGGTTTAGGCAACTGCAGTCAAGTCTTAGCCAGTTATTTCAGCTGGATAACATCTCATTAGCAACTGCTGCAAAATGACAGCAACAGCTTCAGGAAGTACAATGCTACTGATAACTACAAAAAGAAATCTTTTTCATTCATCTTTGAACAGCTGTAATGCTGGTTTAAGCCACAGCCTACATCATCATTAAACTGAAACATAAAATAAAATGAACTGAAAATTAAAGTTAATGAAGGACTAAGATACAGTAGTGATACTTTTTAGGAAAGAAAGAGAAAGGATAAGGGAGACCTTGAGAAGTTTATAAATCAGTCAGGGTTAGCTTTGCATTTTCAAGATACATTATACCAAATTACTAAACACTTCAATTTGTGAGTTCCCAGAAGATAAGTCAATGCAAATGTCACAGAAAATTAATTTTAATTTTCTTCTTTGATCACAGTCTGGAGGACAGAAAAAATCCAATTTATCTGGAGCATTCTGAAATACAGAATGGTCAGAAATCCTCAGATTTTGTAACAACAGTTTCTGCACACTACAAGGACCAACCACACACACGTATATTCTGTGGAGGAGTTCCTGGACAGAAAAAAATGCAGAGAAACATTATCGGATTATCTGTTTCATTTGGTGGTCTGCCTATAGGTCACAGTATGATGCTGTTGCAAATAAGTTAATTTCATTCTCTGCTTTATGCAGGACACAGTAAGTAATTATTTGTTTGATGTCCCAATGGGGGGGGCGGGGAACAGGAGTGTGCAAAACTTAATGACAAGCAGAATGTTCAAGACTGACTAATAAATTCATCAATCTTGGCTGCCGTATTGGGCAGCATTCCTTTCTTCTTCACCTATCTAAAATTATATTTAACAACAGTCAAAAGAGGCTTTTACATAAATTGTTAATACAAATTCTACAGTAGCCAGGAAGTCCAGTCATGGTAACCAAACTGAGTTATGTAATATGTAAATCCACTGTTCACCAAGGACAATGACGTGACAATCATCTGAGCGAGTTTCACTCAGCCCTAAGCAATGTATCTCGTGCTCATTTTTAAAAAAAGATGGATGCTTCCATTTACTTAAAGTACCTCCCAACATACTACCCACCTTTAAACATACTCCATTTAATATAGTTCTCTTTCCTGAATGTATGAATAGACAGAAAACAAGAGCAAACAGAAGTATATTTACTGTCAATACAAATAAAACGCAAGGTTTGTATGCTTTTGAAGTGATCTGTTTTTCATAATTAACATTTAAACTAGATTAATAGAACTTTTTATTAGATATAAACCAGATATTAGTATTAAATACAAATTTTACCAGTACAGTACCTTTGGGTTTTGGTGGCACCGGACCAAGAAATCCAATATTATCGTAGAAATTATGAATAGCACTGGGATTAAAATGTGGTCCTAAAAATAAAAAAAGAAAGTGCATCTGTTTGAAAAATAAACTTGGGTAGGAAAGCATATCAGGTTTTTTTTTCAGTAAATTCTGAAACAGTACTATTATTCACTTACCACCTTTTATATCAAGGTGTGAATACAGACCTGGGTGAGATATTAGTGATGTCAACAATACACTTGAAGAAACTCATTGCCCAAAATACGCAATACAAAGTAAGGTCAGAAAGAGCCTCCAGGAGACCAAAATCCTTAAATAAATTTTTTTTTCTGCCACTCTTAAATATTTAATAGCATTTTATTAGTAAATTTTACCAGAGACTTTTTCTAATTGTAACTATACTGAAAGAGATGTGCTATCTACTATGCAGTACATTATACATGCTTATATTTAATACTTAGAGGAATGTCTAACTCGAATTTACTATAACAAACAGATATAAAATCACAAGCAATTTGAATATTCTGTTTAAGATCAAGTTCTTAATGCAGCATTACATTCAGAACACCCGACTACTTTCTCCTGATCTGCAAGTAAATTGTCAGAAGGAGAATCTGGCTCCTGGCTGAACTGATCCGGCAGCTTGCACTGCTGCTGAAAGTGGAAAGCGTTAGTGCCTTCCCTCTATCTCAGTTCTCCCTTCTCGTGCCTCTCCCTCACACCAGCTGTAGCAAGCTTTTCCAGCAATGCAACATTTTTTGCTTGGCTAGTGAGCAGAATCAGCTCTGCAAACAATCTAAAAAGCTAATACAGAGCCAGAGCACAGTAAGTGGCAAGAGAAGGAAGCAGGAAGAGAGAGGGACCTCTTGTTGGCAGCTCTTGCATTGGCTCAGTTGTCTCAATTTCACCCTCATGACCAAAGGCTGTGTCCCTGCAGACAAGGGAAGTGGAAGGAGGAGAGCACACTGCAAGTTACAACTGTACTTCACATTTGCTAACCTGAGAAGCTGAATATTAGACAGAGAAAGTGGAAGACAAGAGATGGACACACATATGGCTGTATCAATTAGAAAACCTCTCCCTCTTTGATACTCAAATAAGCACATATTTTCCCCCAGCATTTATTAAATAAATGGCATCACAATTTTCTTCTGAGCCAAATATGAGATAGGAATGACTGTGGGATTAGGAAAATCATAAAGCCAACAAAAACAATAGACTTAGAAGACAATTACTTCCATGGTTTCACTCAAACTAATATGATGATTTCGCAAATAGTGTGTCTGCCCATCATTTATAACACAGATGCTTTTGATACATGCAGACAGTGAAAGAAGGGGAAAAAAAAAAAATCAACATTTACAGTTGTTTATGTACTACAACATACTGTACCTCTTGCTTGAAAAAGATCAATCTCTTTGGTTAGGCAATCTATGTCTATCTGCAGCTGTCTGTTACAACTTCTTAACTGTTGCATTTCTTCCAGCTGAAAAAATAAATCTTCCTGTTAGGTTAAATTTTCCCATTTTATTATCAGTTATCATTCATGCATAGTTACAACAACATTTAGTTATTTCAGAAGTGAAGATAAAATAATCTTCCCTTATAATGACCTTTCTTTTAATCCTAGCATAATCTTATAACAAGCTTTCAGAACCACTGAATTATTCTCTCTCACTAGGCTTCAGAGCTGACTGAACAATTCCAGACCATGGTCAGACCACATCCAATGGCCCACCAGATCAACGGCTGTCTCTTCTGGCATTGAAAACTGCTGCATTAATCAGTTTCTTTGAGACTGGTACATGCATGAAGACCAAAAAATATTTTGTGTGGAAAGCAGCATGACTATTAAGTTGTAGCCTGAAACATTAGGTGATCATGCCTTTAAGAACATCTGGAAGCACTAACAGGCCAAACCTTTTGTGACTGCCTTTAAAAGCAACACTTTGCAAAGCAACTAGTGAACTGAAAGGCTGTGGACAAATAATACATATTTAGTCTTTACGCTAAACGACATTGTTTACCACTTTAATTCGAGCTATACTGCCTGTCACTAGTATACTGTCAATACATGAGCAACTGTTGCTTTAATTTATTGTGACAGACCACACTTGTGGTTTAGGTTTATAGCCTACAGACATTTCAACTTACTGATGGAATTTGGGAAACAGAATTTGATCTTTTCAGGCGCCTTCGTGTTAGATTATTCTCCATTTCATTGACCTCTGATTTTAGTTTATCCAACTTTTTCTTTTGAACCTCAAGTTCTCGTTGAAGTCGCTCCATCCTGGCCTTCTGGTGCACCAGTAAAGCTGCAATACATAAAGTCCCATTTTATCTAATTCATTATCCTTCACATGGCAACATCAGATAAAGATGAAAGTTAGTATTCTTTTGGGAAAATACAGATAAAAATATTGCTTCAGATTGCTTTTCCATTCTCCTCACAAGAAATCTCTGCCATAAGATAGAAAGTGTTGTATTTTTGAAAACAGCATAAATCAGTTACAGACAAGAAAATACAATGAGAAAGTCGTACAATGTAACAGATGACCATGCGAAATTTAGCTGTAATCTGTAAAAAAAAAAAAAAAAAAAAAAAATCTTTTTCAAGAACTACAAGACTGACTACCAGAAACCAACAACAAATGTTTCTTTGCATTGTATTCAGCCCAGCCATTGTAAAACAGGTAGTATGAAGAGGGTTTCAGCAAGACATCTGCAATACAGAGCACTATATATGCTAGATAAGCACCAAGATTTTGATTTTTATTGCTATTTGGATTGGAATATAATCCAGTGTTCTTGTCATAGCAGGAGACACCAAATGAAATGAAAACAAAGTACTACAAGCAATACCGCTGGCAAACATCAGTTGTATTTGTCACAGAGGCTGGATTGTATGCCATTTTATCCCTAAACTATGCTGCAGAACCATTATCTCAGCTTCTCATTTCTAACACTGCTTACTATTTGCAATGAAAACTGCACGAGGAGACCTAATTCAGAAATGACCAATTTAACATTTAAATCACAGCTTTATAAAGCTACAAAGAACATAAATAGCAGAAGACAATCAAATACATACAGCTCAAGTAGTTTATTTCATTAAAGATAGGTATACTATTAAATATCATCACGAGTAGATAACACTGCTCAAAGTAATGATTACCCCCTATAAAAATTAAAAAGTACTTCATTATATAAACTCAACAATCATTTCAACTTCCGCACAGCCATTCATCCATCCATTGAATAACTAATTCATATAAAGTAGGATCAGTTTCACAGACTATGGATACCTTAACAGCACTGTGGAAATTATAAAAAAGTAGCAATAACACGGTATTTTAAAAATAATGAATTTGCCTCACAAAATGTGTAAGCAAAACTCTGGCTGGAACGTGATGTTTAATTCACCATGATTTCTTCAGGCACCAGAAAATCAGCAGCACTCAAATTCGCTTGGTTAGGTTTCCCGAGCAGCAGAGGAAAAAATAGCACATCAAAAAGATGCAACTTTCCACATCTTCGGCAAGCAGAACCGCCCTCTGCTGCAATTCCCGCCCGTTCATTCATTCACACATCATATTTTGTCTTCCAGAGATTCTTCAGAAGAACAAACCATGCCAAGCTATTTTTGCATAGCATTACAGAACTGCAAGGCCTTACTGAGATTCAGCCTAGACTTCCGAGTCACACATGTTCAAAAGGTATCAAAGTGACAAAACTCCTCGAGCTTCTGCTTGTTTCTGTTCAATTTAGAGATGTTGCATAAATAGCCACCTTTGGGGTAGCCACTACTCGCACTATAGCTAAAAGTTACAGCTGTGCTCATATGTAATAAAAAAAAGTAGTAACTGAAATCCCAAGATAAAGATTTTTGTTGAAGATTTGGAATCACCAGGTAAGTAGTCTCAAAAGACAGCCTCGCCTCCTGAAAAGGCTTTTAGAAACAGCTGAAAGAACTTTTTCCTGTTTACGAGCTCCAGGAGTTACAGATGTAGCTATAGCTGCTACTATCAAGAAAGGAAAACAAAGACTACTTTGCCTCTACTCTTGCAGGGAGAGTACAAGCCCTTTTTCCTTTTACACTATTTTCACTTTCAGATAGCCTCTTCTATTTTTGTTGCCTTTGTATTACTACTGAGGCAACTCCTCAGAGCCCAGGTTCTTGGTACCTGAGCAGCAGCAACAGAGCCATGCTCTGCCGACCACACTCGGAACTCTTCAGACCTGTCAGACCGTGGACGCAGGCTGCTGGTGAACAGCCTGGACCTGGTAAGTGAGGAAGAGTGCTACCAGAGTATCTCAGGATGCATGGCATGGCCTCAAGAGTAAGACTATGAGCCAGACTGCATCTTTGGAGGACTTTGACCTGTCCTGCCCTCCCTTCCTGCCCCTGCCCCCCCCCCCCTTCCCGCCCCCGCCCCCCCCCCCCTTTAAGCTGCTCTTGTAAAGGGAAAAAACCCACAGCTTCTCATTTCAATGTTCTCCCACTTCTGTGGTTTAGAAATTCAGCTGTCATTATGGAACCGCACAGGGAGCAGAAGGCACGGACAGATGCCCACAGCACTACTATATGCTCTTAATTTTCACATCACTTTCCGAACATGATCCATTCTCCTAGAAGCTTTGTGACTACTTTACCATTTTACAATTTCAAATCCCCACAGATTTTGAACACACTCATTACAAAATTACCATTACGATTAAAGAAGAAGCATCATTTGGTATTGCTGTGCTAAACTTCTACTGTTAAAAATAACTTGGATAAGGGACTGGCAAGACACTGTTTTAAGTGGTGGCTTTCACATAGAATTTGGTAGTTTTGCTTAAATACCAATTTGGCAGCTGCAGGAAAAAAAAATGAGGTGGGGAAGACAAAATCCCCCAATAACCTACTGCAGTATTTATTAACGGAACACATCAATTTCAGTATTCAGCTCCCTCTAGTGTCAATCAGAGCAACTGAAAACGTTAAGAAAAAATTGCGGCGCATCTCTGAATCTAACGCAATTCAGCCACTAGATCTAGTTTACACTGTCCACGAGCAGACACTTAATGGTCTTTTTGATAATCCTGTGCCTTCTTGCAGGAAGGAGATTCCACCTATGCAGGCAGCACACCCAGGTTTACTCTACAATAGACTTAACCTGGAGTACAAGACAGAAAACCTCAGGCTTGTGCTTGTTTATCCAGACATCCTTAACAAGCAGCTATTTACTGTAATTCTAGCAAAAGAAGTACAAAGACTGCCTTCGTGACTCGTCATTGCTGTATCACAACCAGAACAGATTTCATGTCAAACTTCTCAATCATGTGCAAACCTCCAGTTCTGGCAGGAAACAAGACAGATCTGTGGCAGCCTTCTACTACCCACTGCGATTTACTTGGGAGGAAAACCAGAAATCTGATCACGGAAAGAGACTGGAGCGCCTACACACACCATAACTGAAGTAAAGCTTCTCAGGTGGTAGGCAGCAGCACTTGCAGATAGGTCCAACACACCTCTTATTCTCCTGGGTTGGACCACGTGTATGAATGTATTTCACTGGAACAAAGTAAAGGAAATCTCCTTTGACACCAAAGTAACTCCACGTTCCACATTCCTTCTACCCCAAGGCAGTTTCAGTTCTCCCTGCCAAGATAAGGAGCATTCTGGGCAGCAGTGGAAAAGCTGATGAAAATACCCTTTTCTCTAATCATGGCCAGAGAAACTACTCATCTGTTTTGGCTAAAATTAAAATGAGACAAGCACCTACCATGGAAGGTTTTTTGCAGTCCAGCTAAATAATAAGCAGCTTAGAGCACATCTCAGAACAGAAAGCATCAAGTAACTCAAATCCCTTTTAGTATGCGATAGGAATAAAACCCATCTCTAAGCAAAAGATTCAAGTTTCAAAGCAATAATTACGACTTCCAGATACCAAGATCATACAAGTACATCTACCAAACACTTCTCAACTTTCCAAAGATTAAATAACAAAAATTTAAAAAATACTGCACTTGCTGCAGCAGAAATGGAGCAAACATGTCAGAAATCCCAAGCACTTCTGAATGTAAAGAAGTTCAGAAGCATGAGCGTACTTCATATGAACTAATGAAGGACACAGAAGGACGGTGTTTCCCTAGCGTCCCTATAGCTCCACCAGCCCCTATCGTGCATCTACACTTCACCTAAAAAAAATGCATCTATGTCTTGGCTTTTGGAACAACCGGGCTCCACAGCAGGTATAAGCCAGTCAGTGCTTTTGAGCTCTAGGCTGCGTGGCAGAAACAGGTGTCACAAGCTTGCCTCAGCTTGATAAACTGGATGCTAACACCCGCAGCTTGTGTAGTGCAGGAAGTCAGGTTACAGTAGCCATTACTAGCGGGGGTACAAGAGATGAAGAGCTACACCTCGTTGAAGTCAGTCCCACCAGAAAGGCAGACCAGGAGAAAGGGACAACCTTCCCCAACAAGTATCTAAAATGAAGAATGCAGGGGAAGCAAGTTCATAATCTAGAAGAGTATTTAGAGCCTAAGGACAAGATTTCAATTGCACAATTTCTGGGTATCTAAAGTCTTCGAGGACTACAATAGCCAGCCAAGTCTCCCTTCACAGTAAGGGAAGGGAATACCACTTCCGGAGGGCAATTTGTCTTGCTTATCTAGAGATGAATCATTTTCTGAAGTTCTTTAATTCTTCATTGATCGTAAAAGACAGTCTAGGATGATTAGTTTTTTGGTTTTGACAACTACCCTTTAGACACTTGAGTTAAGATGGATTATTCTCCCACCAAAGATACAACTACATCCAGAAGTAGCACACAAGCTATAATCAGTTTTTGATTTGCTTCACTACTATAGTACTCTAGATGCTAACCAGGCTTCCAGGGTCCTGATCACTGTACTTACACAAAGCAAAATGGCTAAGTTAATCTGAAGAACATTTAGAGCAGTTGTGGAACAATTCAAGTTTTTAATGCTGAACTGTTTGCTAAGTCCAAGTAGGACCAATGAGGTCAAAGAGCAATTACGCTGACAACCTGTCCTAAATACGGCTTAAATATCCTAAGACTCCTTCAACATCTTTATACTAAAAGTCCACAGGAGGGTTAATAAACCATCAAGTTGGCAATAAAAGCATGCAAAAACATGAAAACAGAAGAAAGATTAACAGGTTGAGTTGCCGTATCACATATTTTACCCTTCCATTACCACTGATCCTTTAAAATAGTTTGCTTTGGTGTGGTGTTCCTTCCCACATTTTATAACGTAACAGAAGGAAGCATCAAGACTTTGCATTTTACTGTCAGGCGCACATTAGGAAACATGGAGGCCAACACTCTGTCCCACTAATTGCTTTTGAAGTTTGCCTTTCTTCCTTCTTAAATAACACTCGCAAAAAGAAAAAAATGGGAACGTTACCCAATGGAAACAGCATCTCAATTGATTCAACAATCTGCCAGTAAACTTGTAACTTTAAATCCTTAGGACAAATTGAACAAGCTTAGATGTTTCTTTCAGACCAACATAAAAATGAAGATGCTATGACTACACTTCATCAAACAGATAATATATCTAACTTAAGACAAACAGAAGAATTATTTCCAAGTATTCAGTTACATGTCTTCGCCATAAAAAGAAATCTACGATTTGTTTAAACAGTTTTTTAATAGGAAATGCTCATGAATGCTAAAGTTGAAGATATTATACTAGCATCACAAAGGTTATCAACTGTTTCCTGTTCTGTAATCCATATACTGAACTGACAACCTGGTTGAAATCTCTACGATTTATATTAAGAATATTACCTTGCGTGTAGGCAGCATCATCAGATCCCATACTCAATTTCCGTGCATCACTGATCCTATCCACATGTGCTAAAACAGGGTCAGTAAGATGCTGGATACCCTCTGGTTCAACATAGTGATCAGGAAGGTTTAGAAGGTTTGTAGGTTCAAAGGTTGGGGACACTACCCCTGGGGAAACTGCAGGGGGCTTATTTGGAGAAACTGTAATTTTAAAAGTATATTTTGTGTTAGGCTGCGTAACCACCACTCGAGGAGAGGTTGCAGTGGTGCTGTTGCCCACTGCTCGACTCTTGGGTGGATGGTGATGAATAAATGCAGGACCCATGCTTACTTGACCAGACATATTCCTAGAAGTGGTAGATACTCCAGGATTTGTCGATATGAAAAGCGTGGGCTGGTTCCGCACAACTTGATCATCTCCTGTTGTGGCATTTGCTGAAATGTAGACCTTGGGCTGACTGCGTGTGACCACTTCATCAGTATTTGGAGGACTGGCCGATATGTAAACAGTGGGTTGACTTCTACTTAATGTCTGGCTGTTGAGGGAAGGAGTAGTGGAAGTGCGAGGGCCAGTTGAACGCAACTTAGAAGAACTGTTTCTTTGTGGTGGTTCAAGTTTGATTTCAATTTGGTTTTTGCGAGGTCCTGTGGATATATTCTGAATGTTGTATTGGCTATGAGCAGAGGATTGTGAGCTACCAGATGAATGAATCATAGGTGCTTGTGGAGTAGTAGGAGAACTGATAGGCATATAGACATGAGAAGTCTGGTGGCCTTGCTGATTTGGCTGCGTTGAGTGTTGTGATGAGGTATGTGGCGTAGTACTGGATGTAGGAAGAGTAGTCCAGGGACTTGGCTGCGAAGGCTGGTAGGCTTGCTGAGGGTGCACAGGATTAAACTGAGATGCCCAGCCTGGCTGCTGATGTGTCTGTCGAGTGGTACCACTCGGAGCTGTGATGTAAGGCCTAATATAGATAGAATTTCCCTGTGGACTGTTAAGTACAGGAGGAGGTACACCATGTATGTGCAAAGACGTTGGGGTATTGCGACCAGGCTGAATATTTGGGGCCAAAGTTACCATAATGGGGTTGAATCTGGGTGTTTGTTGAGACAAGTTAGATACTCCTTTGCTGCCTAGGTGAAATCCAAGATGCTGTCCTGGATTAGACGTACTAACTGTATTAGCCATCCCAAAGACATTAAATCCTTGTGGAACCTCTGTTGGACTGACTGGTTTGAAGGTGTCCATCACTCACGCTGTGAGCTAGAGTCCTACTTCCATTCATTCTAATTCCTTCTCTTCCATGGTGATGGACGTTCTGTGACTGCAAATCCAAATTAAGAGATGTCATGTGATTTCGTAGTCCAGGAATCCCAGAATCATCTGAAAAACCTAGGTCTCCTTCACCGTAGAGATACTTTGTGCTCTCCTGAGAGAGAACTGCACAACAGGCATCCAAATTATTGTTATTCTATAAAAGACAGATGAAAGTTTGACATTACTGATACAATACCATCACAGTTAGATACATATGCATCCAATCATCATTGAAAAATTAACAACGTAGCATCAAACAGAAAGCTTTAGGTGGTTGGCTAGCACAGCTGCTACACATGCACAAAGGGCTTGCATGTGAAGCTCACTATTTTGAGAACAGCGACTCAGTCACTGGCACCAAGGATGGAGGCCTGCACTGCTGCTGAAGCAATGATAACGAGATCTTGGACCTTGAAAAGTTAACACCATACAGTATGATAAACCTTGGATGAGTATTTTTGCTACTCCTTCTCAATTCCAAAGCAATCTTCATCAATGACCAGGTTGCTGGCTTAGGGTGGAAGTGACAGAAGGAATGGATTTATGACACCTACATATTACTGGTTAATAACTTACAAACAAATATCAAAGTACATGCTTATTTTAAATGTTTTCCCAAACACTTCAATACCAGCTATGCACTACCTCCTGTTGAAAACGGAAAGTGAATCTTATGCAGAGAAGAAACATGCTGACCCAAGGAGTTGTACATGACTTCAGAAGAAATGTAAAACTTCAATTTATACAAATACAGCAGGATTATTCTTTTTGCAAGATGAAACTATTAACAGCAAACCCTTGGAACATCTGTATTTTAGTTTTAAACCCCTGCCTGCAAAGCTTTTAAATACTTACATTTGTACAAAATTACTTTATAAAACCTGTAATAGGATGACTTAGAACAAGAACCACAACCTAGCTAACTTGGTTTTTAAGAACATTTTGGAAGCAAACTGCTAATCCCTCTTCTCTTTTTCCACGTTTAGTAATTTTGCACTCAGATCTTCCCAATTCAGTTTCCTACATAAGAACTTCTAAAAAAAGAGTAAACATGCATCAGTGGCATAATTTTTTAATACTGTGCTCTGCCCATACAACTTTGCTTACAGACACCCCCCCAAGAAACAGATGTTAATACTTTCAGCCAGAAGAGCACCTGTTTGGGCCCAGATGTTATTAAAGCTAAACAGGCATCAAATTCATCCACCCTACAGAAAGTTACTAGAAAGAATGCATACAATCAAGAAAAAAAATTGTGTATGCCAAGTAGTAACTTTATCAGTTAGTTAAAGTATAACACAAGCAAGAAATTGATCCATGCTCCATGCTTTGTATCAAGTTATTCTTGTTAAACTAGCAGACAGTAGTTCTCATCCTTCAACCAGGATAAGAGGTCCTTTAGTGTTGCGCAGACACGGCAAGACCGTGTCTATCTTACAGATTGACCAAAAAAGAAAACAGAAAAAAAAGAAAAAGGGATAGACAACAGAATTGGGAGAGGGAGGACAAGGCTAAACTCCCCCCACAAAACCAAAGCTATGTGTTGATACAGGTCAGATGCAGTTCTGAATTCTTAAAAAAACAAACAAAACAAAACCCCAACACAAACAGCCACAAAACCTTTCAAAATAACAGGATTCCCTAAAGGCTATCTAACTAGCCAAGTGCATATAAGAAGTGTTGCAGAAAAGTCTTCAGAGATATGAAAATGGATCAAATTGATGGTATGCATATTTGCTCTAGTTTGGAATAAGCAACAGAGGACAAAGTAATCAAATGAAGTTAGTAGTGAAGAAAGGAATCACACATAGACAGAACAGTGGGTAAGACAAGATAAGAACAATAGCCTTGTATTTGTTGCAAAGGAGAAAAGGGAGCCAGAAAAGGGAAAAAGATAGGATGCCACAGAAAAACAAGCTAGAAAGATCTTAAAGGCAGATTTTGCATAAACTTCAGTGAATTAAAATTATTAACAGAAAGGCCAAAAACACCAAACCAAAAAGGAAAAGGCCAAGCTTGCAAGGCCCTTACATTCAGCTTGAATGCATTTCTTTGGACAATTTTTTTTCTTTTTTAAGACTGCATCCAATCAATTCCAAAATTTCAGTGACGTCAATGAGCAAATTCGAGAACTCAAAGGGCAAACGGGGACACATGGAACCCCTGGTATCTTCTGGCTGGCAGAGGCAGAGTTTCAACCGCTTCTAGCTCTTTACAGATCAGAGAACCGGTTGATGGCAGAACTGAGCATATTCCAGCAAAACAATACCCCTCATCTTAGCTCTGCCCATGTCCCAACTGAGTTTAAAATGTTGGCACCCTGAAAGAGAAAGAAAAAAAAAGAAAGAATAAGAATGTTGGAGGGAAATAAGGAAGCAAGGAGAGGACGTAGACTTGAGGAGTAGCTGGTTATAGAATGCTCCAGACACAGAAAAGAACAAAAGAGGACAACGTCCACAAACTAGGACTCTGGAGTGATTCCTTTAAATGAGGAGAAGGGGAGAGCTGAATGCAGGAGGCTTGTTGGGAAGAATGGAGAGATGCAAAATCTTTCAGGAGCATTCAATACTGTCAGCCCAAGAAAGCAATAAAACTTTTTACTCCCTAGATTACACAAGTTTAAATTTCATCCTATTAGATTTTTGGTGGTCGTCTGTTTTTAGTACGCTAGGTATTGTTTAGATATTTCATCAGTGGGCTATTCACCTCAAGATATTTGCATACTCTGTTTATCCTTGAGTTTTTCACGATAAACATATAATGCTACAAACTTTCCTTTAAAAACAAGCTGAAACTGTTTGGCTAAAAAAATTCAAAGAGGAGGACTGAAGTATCTGAATGATTTTCCTGCACGATTCAAAGCAACATGAAGAAACTTTTCTTGTTATAAACGCCTCTTGTTAATATCATCATAAACTGTGTAACTGCTCAAACTCTTTCAGGCTCTCTCCTAAGATATCTTATAATTCCTGGTTTAAAAACAACTTCACCCTGACACATGATGCTTGCACACCAAGTATTGTGCGGGCAAGGCAAACACACCATTTCTTACACTGATAATGTCCTTAAGTACTTATCTCTGACCTAAACCATAGCTACTGCATTTATCAGAAATTCCTTCGGCTATGGTCAATGACAAGGCGGCAGAACTCAGGATTCAGACACTGTTCCAGCAGTATTGCACACACATGCAAGAGTACTCTCAGATTCTGCTTTCCAATCTTCACTATCAGTCCAAGTACAAAATTTTTTGGTTTAAAGAGGTTATGTTAGGCATTTTTTTAAAAAAAAAAAAAACCTCTCAGAGGAGTAGCATAGCTAGAAGCTAACTGATTCAGAGAAACCAGAGCTCATGAAACTTCAAAGAGCCACCAACAGGATTTTGTTGGCAAGTCTTAGAAGCTCTCAGTTAACACCAAAAAAGCTAGCTTTCTAGTGTAAAGAATTAGTGTAATAATATTGCACATATGGAACATTACTTACCCTACAGAATTTTTGAAAAATCCTCTTACAAAAGCTAATCCAAAACACTCCCTCAAAAACTAAACCCTTCTCCCATATCTCTGTCAAAGTATGGGATGTGCAGAATCTTGTCTTCATGGCTATAAGGCTCCTTATTGTAAAAAAAATAAAAATCCACTGTATTCAGTGTTATGAAGGCTGAGTCTCTCAAGAGCCAAGCAATAGCTTTTAAATTTACCAAGAATTACATTCAAAAGGTGATTACTGATGCACTCACTCTGTCAAGTCCATGGACCTTGCTCAACAACCAGTACCCATGTTTGAAGAACAGCACTGTACTTGCAGTATAAAAATTAGATTAGTCTTACAGAGTACTCATATAAAAATCATGGTGTACAATCCTGAGAACAAATACAGGTAATTTATAGTCTGGTTCAGCTGCTTCTTCAGCTAAATAATTAGAGAGAAAGGGTTGGGAAAAGCTTGAAACCTCACAAGCCCCGAGCAGAATTTTGCCCTCTTGCAAATCAAAAACAACTCTATTAAAGAATTGTGCTTTTCACAGCTTCTTACTCTAGTAAGAATGGAGTCTTGAAAATACAAACATTAAATTGGCACAGACACGCTTCTACTCCCAACAGTATAAATACTGTTTCTGGATGCATGTGTGTGACTAAGTAAGTATACATATATATGTATTTTATACATAAAAATACATATAAAAAGCATGACAACCAACATTCTTTATATCATAATTGTATCATAACCACAGATGTCCTAGGCATAGCCCAGAGACAGCTAGCTTCTGGAAACTCATGACCCATCTTTCTTTACAATCAAGTTGTGTATACTGATGATCAGTACGAATATTCAGACAATCCTTTTATTATCCAGAGTACTCAAAGGCTGAATACCTTAGATAATAATAAAAAAAAATCCAATCAGTATGGATGCTTTGGGATCACTGGAAAATGCAAAGCAAACATGTTTATGCAACAAGTAAGTCTATCAGCATTTGTTAACTCTAGGCATTCAGCTGTCCTTATGTTGGTCTTTGGATAGGCATATTTATTTATCTGCTGAAGTAACTAACGTGATGTTATAGAGCAGAAATTGATACAAAATATGCGCATGTAAGTATTCTGACAGTGGCAGTATAGAAAACATAGCTGGAGGTATAAGTTGACGATATGGCTGCCCATAGCCTTAACTGCAGTACCAGATAAAAATGCTTTGTTACTTCCAAGCCAAACAGAAATCCATTGATGAGCAACATGGACTCCAAAGCTATAGTAAAACAAGAGAAGCCCATCTGGCAGCCAAAGCCCTGGGAAGCACTGGGCAGAAGCACACCAGTGCATCACACCCACTCAGGTCTGACACAGTGGATGCTGGGCTACAACCACCTAGTCCTGCCCGATTCAGGCTGACTCAGACAGAAAACTTGGGTGTGCTCGCATTACCCTGCTAGGCTCCCTGCTGCAGAAGATGCGGAAGGCCACCAACACTGGCTCTGCAGGCCAAGGGAGCTGGGAGTGGAAAGTAGCAGTGCCAACGCGCATTCAGGCAAGGGCCCACTGATTACCTTGAAGCCTGATGCAGACCAGGTAGCAAAGTTGCTTCTGGACCTGCCCATCAAAGACAGAAAAAAAAAAAAAAAAAAAAAGCAGCTGCATTTGTGTAACACTGCCTTTTTTTGTTCCTGCTGGACTTAAGTTGGCTTTGCATCCCTCCTTTTGCCACAGTTAGTTTTGGCTCTTAAGATAGCCAAAAGGCATGAGCATACTGATTGATGAGATGGCAGTCTCCATGCACACACTGATTTACAGGCTGGTTTACCTTGAGCCACCCCTGATCAGACATGGAAAAGACAGGCCAATTTAACATTCAGCCCGCTAGGGAAAAAAATGACTGTGCATATGTCTCACTCAAAAAGTAAAACAGAAAGAAAACAATCTGCTTTCAAAGGAGACACCTGTACATGATGCTTAAAATAAGTATCACTGCTTACTTGTACAGTCATTAACAAAACACTGACCTGTAACATGCATCTGGATACAACACCTTCAGGTACCTCAGGAAACTTCTGTCGCAGGTCATGTAAAACCTGAACATCAATTTGCTGGCTTCCTTGGGCCATTCGTATATTGCCTGGTCAGGATTGTTTTTCAACAGGCAGTTTTAGGCCTTAGTAAAGGAAGTACTCATCTCTTCTGTCCCAGCATTTTCTGGAAGAGGAAGTAGAACTTTAAGACACTGGAAACAGACACTTTTGATGTAACAAAACCCAACAAAAAACCATATTCCCCCCCCCCCAACCAAACACCAACACCTTTTCCAGTTATGAAGTGTAAGTCTGTATTTTACATCAGTGTTCTCCCATGCAACATCTATGACTAACTAGTTGTCCTTTACACACTCATAGCCTTGAAAATTGCCCATTTATAAACACATCTCCCAATCAGTTTCCTGCTATCTTAGCTTTTATATTTGCATTATAAAAATAATACTTTATACAAATAAAAATTGCTTGATAAATAAGAATACTTGATTTGTCATAGTATTAAAATTCATTTTTTTTAAGAACAGCATTTTTATTTATTTAACACACAAGTAAACATGGAGAAGTCCACATCAAAAATAGGAATATAGTGTTCATTCAGCTTTTCAGTGTATCTACACCATTGCCTTTATCACCACTGCTATTGTTTACTATCAGAATATTGTGGTTAGAAGTTCAGTGTTTCTAAGTTTCAGGATTTACTAGCAATAGTCTACTTGTTTTTCACCCAACATACTTAAATATTCTGAGATTATGACTAGAAGGAAATAACCCTATAACAACTCATGTTTCTTCAACTACTTTGTTTCTCCTGTGAAGGAAATTATGAAGAGTTATGTAGAAGGTTATATCACAAATTACCCAATCAACACATTTATACAAGTTATCTGTCCTGGCCATATGATATCCATAGGCTTTTACCAAGAACCAACTAAGTTTGGAAGAATGCATCTACATGTTAAGCAATGGAATGGTATCTTTTTCATATAAACTCATATTACAAATGAGTGTTACCGTATGGTTTATAAAAAAACCAAAGCAGTCAACTCCAACATTCACTTACCTCTTAAGTTAGCAAGTCTTATTCAAACATCTCTATCGATTTATTCAATTTCTCTTCCCCTTCTCTACCTGCTTTTCTTTTTCCTTTGCCTCATACACAACATCCACTGTTACTTCATGTGCCGACACACAGCAACCTGCAGCAGAGAACTGCCTCCAGTGCCACCTGTATGCACCGCTCCCTAGATCCCATCAGCCCAAGTTCTTTCCCAACAGTCCCACTGGGACACTCACTTTTGTAAAAGGGCCTATGTGCTTATGTTTGTCCTTCTCTGCACTAAAAGGATACTAGTGGCAAGTTAACTGGGGAGCATTAATAACAATTTTCTAGTGCATTGACACCACTTGTGATTCAAATGTAATGCAGTACAATTCTACAACTTCGAGACTGAAAAAATGGAGAAAAACTGCAATAAATTGATGGGAAAGTACAAAGCACACCATTTTCAGCAGAGATGACAAGACAGACGTAATACAATTCCAGGACTGAAGTCGAACTACACTATTATAAGACTTTTTCAACTTCTGCTGCTTCTCTGGTCTCCAGTGATACAATTACCAGTCAGCTGGTAATTGGCCTGAACCAGAACACCTCCAATTATAGCTGAACATGATCTAAAAAGCAACACAGTAACCAGTTCAACTTTCTGACAACAATTTAAGAATAGCTCTGGAGAAAGAAAAAAAAACAAACTAGCCCCAAATACATGTTATTCTGAAGGCTCCATCTATATGCACTACACATGGGAAAAAACAACCTGTTAGGTAATAAAATAGTGGAGACTGGAAGTCTTAAAAATACTTCAGGAAACATCTGCTCATTATTTCAGTCCCATAAATGCCATCTTCTCTGATATAATCTCAATATGTGCTTAATTAAAAAACACAAGCAAGAACATAAATTTTTATTAGAATATTCGGAGATGTTCTGATACAACAGAGATCACAGTCCTACCCACAGTTTAAGTGCACAGAATACAATATTCCACTACTGAAAAACAGTATCACAATTTCAAAACACCTTAATGAATGAAAAGTACCAGCCAAGACTGCTACAACTGGAAACTCAGGTTATGGTATTCCTTTCCAGAATACACATTCTGTTTATCTGACTACGCAAGTTCAGCTTCCCTTCTCTTCGTGCACTTTATTAACAGAGCCAGAGCAGCCCAACTCTTCAGGAGCTAGGAGGTCTGGTTCCACCCAGACCTGTACAATTAAAAAACCAAAAACCTATTAGCAAAGCGACTGGTATGAAGATCTGGAAGAGCAGCAGGCAAGACAGGATTTTGTGAGAGTCATATACAAGTAAATTCAACGCAGTGAGCACACATTAACACTTAACAGTCAGTACGATTACAGTTTCATTAGATACACACCTGCACTCCTCTGCACAAATTTACTCTGCATACAGCAAGAATGCTATCTCAAAGGGACAGAGAAATATTGAAGACAACTGCTACATAAGGCGCCCGGCGGCTGCTGCTATCAGTACCCGAGATCACTAATTTAAATGTAGCATGGATATGCCTAAGTAAGCTGAGGTTGTGCCTTAGACTGCAGTTTAGGCACACCTCAGATGCCTCAAACTGCAACACTGGACAAGCAGAGGACCAGAATACTTCGTTTTGAACAACTCGAGCTATACATTTGAAAGAAATCACTTCCAAGAGACAACTGAGGCACCAAATCTTGGCTTGCACAACTGAGAAAAATCACCCTGGCCAGAGAGAAACACAAGTAAACACCTCATCTGAAACAAAAAACAGTAACTTATTTTCTAACAGAAAAAGTGCCAGGCCGTTACTCTACTATAGAGAAAATCTACATTAAACACAACATTAATATGGTTGAAATAAGGGATAAGAATTGCAGAAGTTAAAATGAAGTCACAAGGCAGCCTTTAAACACAAATTCAAGTACTGAAGAGATCCATTCCCCTCCCATGCACCAGGTAGCACAATGGTTGGTACGTACACACACTGTTCAAACGATGCTAAAGCCCGTTTACATGTACTGAGGTTCAAAGCAAGCAATTCATAACAGCTTGGGAACAAAGAACAGCGTCAGAGTCCCTGAGGCCCTGGCACAAGCCTCTGCTGGCTGTGGCAGGCCCGAAGCAGGGCTGCGGATGTAGGCAGTGTGCACAACCTACAGCCAGCGCAGAGCCAGACCCCCAGCGCGCACACACTCACACTCGGCTGCACACACAGCAGCCATCTGCCCTTGGCCTGCACGAACAGCGACGGGAGATCCCGCTCCCCGGTGCCTGAAGTCCGTGCCCTCAGACAGAACATGGGAGCTGGGCTGACACTGCCCCGAAATTTTACGTGCTTACACTCTGAGAACTCCAGGACAGTGGTAGTGCAATTTTAGAAATGAATGAATCCATGTCTCATTAAAAACACGGCGGTTTAGAATGCTAGACAAATCTGAGCAGTGACAAAACACTATTGACCTCAGACTTTCTTTCAAGCAACTATTAAGAAAAATACTATTTGGCAGAGCAATTCCCGAAGAAATTAAGCAGTTAAAGAATTTAATTGTTTCCTCAATAAATGCGCTGCAATGCTTCTCTAAAATTGAAAGCTAGCAAGATCACAGCAAGTCCAGAAAAATACAGGGTTCTATTAACAGGAAGGAAACTGGTTTGCCTTAGTTCAGTATCAAATGCCATTTTTCCACCACTCTGACACTGAGTAACCCATTGAAGTTACTGCTAAATAAACAGTTAACCTCCCCTCAGTCCTCCTAAGACATCTTCATTTTTTTTTCCAGTTTCTCTAACCTAAAGTAACCCATACCACAATGCACTATATCATTACCAAAGCAGTAAAATCTATACTCTCCACCTCAAACTCCCTATAGGGTACTAAAAGGTTTGTATTTACTCTTTATAAAAAGTCCATCTTTTGCCTGATGAATCAGATAGGCAGAACAGCACCTTCAAAGCTATTGCAACAAAAACTGCATGGAAAGATTCATGCATCCATTCTTTTCAAAAAAAACACACAGAATATACTAAAAAAACATTATTTAAAACATTTAAAACCAGGAGAATGTTCCACATCACCCCAGTACTTCATTTCAATAAGTATTTCGTGTTCTAGCTCATTTTCAGCATCTGTAGTTCTGATAAAACACACATCGGCCACAATTTCCATTTATCACTCTGAAACAGCAAAATATGCCAATAATTACCTTAAAATTCAGAGAATTGCTACAAAGAAGCTTTTCTACATCTTCGTGAGGCATAAAATGATTTATGGGTATCAACCAATGTCTGCAAAATCCAATTATTTGTTGGTAGCATGCAATACTTGGTAAATGGCTTATTTTTACTATCGTACTTTTAAGTTTTGGTGGCTTAGCACCAAGAAGATGCATGCAGTTACTGCAGGAAGAGCTAGAATTAACATCTACTCTATCACGTCACTGAAGTTACTAAGAAATTTTTGTTCATGTGCATCAAATGTGTCAACATGGTGGAACATGAGTCTATTTACTGTAGTATGGGAGAAAATAAATGCAATAGACTCTGCTCCCACTCTTTTAATTCACAATGAAATATATTCAAAAGTCCTTTAAGCAGTATATCCACCATGTTCACAAAACAAGGTTTTCTTCAGTTTCAATTACAATAGGTAACTAATATGGCTACACCAACTATAGCATGTGAAAAATACACTGGTATCATATGAATGTTCAGGTCACTTCAATAATCACTTAAAATAAAAACCTACTGCAGAGCTCACAGACATTTAAATATTATTAATAAACTCAGACTAACTTTATGGTAGTATGAAGTGGCAAGACAAGCGGCCTCACAAGGCCTCTCTAGTACAGACAGACTAAAAGGTTCTTTCCCCCCAATTCTTGATGTTGCAAGGCAACTACAAAAAGGAACTCTGCATCCATCTTGCTAGAGGAAACCTTAAAGGAACTGAAAGTTATTTTGACAGATGTAAGCCTAAGGAACGGAAACGTAGCGCTGTTAGGCATGAACTCTGAATCTGGCACCAGGATGTCCAGAATATTGTTAGAAAGTTTTATATACCAGTGGAAACCTAAAGGCACAAATGCAAGAGTGAACAGCCAAGATGG